GGAACTCATTAGCATAATAGGCCACACCCAGCAGCAGAAACTCATTAGCATATTAGGCCACACCCATGACTGTACCACTCATTAGCATATTAGGCCGCACCCCCATGTTACCAGAAGTGTGGTCATCCAGCCACACCCACCTTTTGTTTCTTATTCTGTTTACCTTGTTTGTTGTCAAAACCCAGGGCTTTTTTGTTGCAGGAACTCCTTTGCATGTTAGGCCACACACCCCTAAGGTAGCCAATCCTAATGAGTTTTTACTGCTGGGTATGGCCTGTTATGTTAATGAGTTCCTGCTTGTTGTGGCCAACTTGGGAGCCAGCCGGAACTCCGTTCCTGTGCGTTCCTGCCCCAAAATAGCCCTGAATGTTATGATGATGTTTATAATCTGTTGTAATCGCCCAGAGCCCTGTGCACTCAGGGATTGGGCAAGCCAGAAATTTAAAATATAAATAAATAAATAAACTTAAGACCGCTACGGTTTTCAGATCGGAGGCCGGAGACCTACCTCAAGGCCCGCATCTGTGATGGTCGATCTCTTAAGGCTCACGGACTTCACTCCTTTCTTGGACAAAGGGTAGTTGTCGATGAACTCGCAAATGTCCAGGTCAGAGACTCCGACCAGGCAGAAACCGTCAAAGCCCCTGACGGCGAACCCTTGGAGGTTGACAAACTCTTTCTCCCCGTTGGGCAGGATGTTGTAGAGCTCTTTGGTGTGCAGCACTGGCGTCAGGCCCACCCAGAATTTGGGCTGGTACAAGACCCTCCTCCACGCTTTACACACCTGGGCCAGGACACACTTCTCGCAGGCGGAGAAGTACCAAAAGAGGCGGTTGAGGATCTTCTCGTCCACGGCCAGTTGCCTCTCGGCAGGGGAATTGGGGAACCCCTCTAGGGAGGAGACTTCCCCGTTGGTCGGGGAGATCTCGCTGGAGTGGAGTCCCACCACAGCGGCCCCAGAAGGTGACGGCGCCCCGGATAGCGCGGCCAAGGATAGCGGCGAAGCCAGGCTGGGCATGGGCAAGTCACTGTGATTGGCTAAGGCTGGACTGATGATGGCAGGCACAGAAGAAGGCTGGCACAAGCGGTTTTTCATTGCGGGCGTCCCTTTGGTGATGCTGGCGGAGCCGAGTCCATTGGCCTGGGCGGGGATTTTCACTAGCCCGTTCCGGGGTAAACATGGGGGTTTGGTGTCACCGTTGCTCTGGTTCGACATCTTCCAAGGTCACTCTGAAATACAAGGGAGAAGGGCATTAGCGGGGCCAGTCCCAGGTTTTGGGGGCCCCCAAGACAGAGAACTCCCAAGACTGCCTCCCCTCCTCTACCTACCACCTGGCATGCACACCCGTCTTCCCTCCCACCCACCTGCATGCTCCACACCTGCTTACGTGTCCTTCCCTTATCTGCTTACAAGCATTTCCATTGCCTGTGCTCACAGCTGCCAGTAGACCTTATTATTTATGAATGGTCACAGTCAGATATTTGAATGGTGGACGGTGTTCTGGAATTCGAGATCTAAGCAAGTTCTTAGAATTGCACATGTATCTGTGCAGAATTCTTGCTGTTCCAAATGAAATGCACTTCTGGAGCGGAGCTGGTGCTACTTGTTCAGTGTCTAGAATGTGCAGGTGTTTCTTGATGCTGATAAGAACCTCAGAAGAGCCCTGCTGGGTCAGACCAGGGAGGGTCCCTCTAGTCCAGCCTCCTGTCTCACTCAGTGGCCAACCAGTTCTTCTGAAGGGCCAACAACAGGGCACAGAGGCGGAGGCCTTCCCCTGATAAGAACCTCAAAAGAGCCCTGCTGGGTCAGACCAGTGAGGGTCCCTCTAGTCCAACATCCCGTCTCACACAGTGGCCAGCCAGCTCCTCTGGAGGGCCAACAACAGGGCATGGAGGCTTCCCCTGATGTTGCCTCCTGGCTCTGGGGTCCAGAGGCTTAGTGGCTCTGAATGTGGAGGTTCCCCTCAGCTACCGTGGCTAGTATTCATTGATAGACCTCTCCTCCATGAACCTAATCCTCTTTTAAAGCTGTTTATTCCTGTGGTCTTTACGACATCCTCTGGCAGCAAACCCCCCATTTTAATCAGTGTATAAAGTAGTGTTTCCTTTTGTCCGGCCTGAACCTACTGCCCATTGGCTTCACTGGATGCCCTCGAGTTCGAGTATTTTGGGAGAGGGAGAAAATGTTCTCTTTGTCAGCTCTCTCCACACCAATCGTACATGATAAATCACATTTTAAAACCATTAAAATCAACCCCTCGACACACGTCATTAAAAGGGAGCCAGTTTGGTGCAGTGGTTAAGAGCAGTGGACTCTCATTTGAAGCACCAGGTTCAATTCCCCACTTGGAACTAGCTGGGTGACCTTGGGCAAGTCACAGCAGTCTCAGCGTACAAATAAACATAGCTCGCCACCTAGTGGTGCCAGAAAAGAGCTACAGCTTCAGCAGCCAAACAATCCCTCCGGGAATCTCCTGGCTATTCCACATGCAATGTCATACGATAATCATTAATTGCATCATTAAAGCAATTAAAAACAGAGTTAAAGTACATAGTAGCGAGTGAGTGGGCAGGAGGAATGGTAGCAGTGGGACCCCCCCTCAGAAATCTTGGGTTGCGGCAGCTGTCCCCCTTAGGGTACACTGATGCCGGCCCTCATATTAAAAGTAAAGGTCAAGGTTCCCTTGCTCGAAAGCCAGTCGAGTCCGACTCTAGGGTTGCGGTGCTCATCTCCGTTTCCAAGCCGAAGAGCCAGCGCTGTCCGAAGACGTTTCCGTGGTCATGTGGCCGGCATGACTAAACACCAAAGCGCACGGAACACTGTGACCTTCCCACCGAAGTGGTACCTACTTATCTACTTGCAATTTCTTGCTTTCGAACTGCTAGGTTGGCAGGAGCTGGAGATGGCAAAACAGAAGCCAGAAATCCCTCAAACTGGCTCACCATGCAAGAGCGATTAATTAAATAACCACGACGCGAGCCCAAATTAACCACTCGCACGAAAGGCTGCTCAGCGCATGATATACGGACGTGGACACGCTGGCTCAAACCTCAGGGCTGCTCTAACAAACTGACGGCAAAGACACCTCGCCAGAACGAAAGGCACAAGACCAAGATTTGTTGAGGCCGAGCAGGATCTGATCGATTGTGCATGAGCCGGATTCACAAACCAACCATAGTTAAAGCTAATTTTTTTAAAAAAATGTGCAGCTAGGTTTAAGGACAGGGGCAGAGAAAGAGGATGAGAAGACGCCAACCAAGGTTTTAAAGAACTGCCGTGGGTTTTATCATTTGGACACTGTTGTCTCCCGGTAGTGTTTTGTGTGATTCGTTCATTTTACGGTATTAAACCAGCAGAAAACACAGAGTAAAATATGCCAAAGGCAGTCGTTGTGATATCCAGAATAGGGCTGGTCTCCCATTGCACGCCCTCCCTTGAGAAATAGCACGGATGCAAGTTAGAAATTGCCGGGGAACTTTGAGGATACTCCTTCTGAAATCCATGTTCCACTCAGTTTTACAAACACATAACCCGCAAACACCGGCCCCGATCACACATCAAAAGGGACACGCGGCCAGTGTTCCCTCTAAGCTGAGTTAGTAGGAGAGCTAGCTCACAATTTTTGAGCCTCCGGCTCACACATTTTTGCTTTAGCTCAGGAAGGATGGCTCCAGAGCAAACTAATTTATGCAGTAGCCAAATTGCTTGCTCACAACTTTAATGCCAGCAGCTCACAAAGTAGAATTTTTGCTCACAAGACCCCACAGCTTAGAGGGAGCTTTGCGTGCGGTAGCGGGATCAGACAGATTCCCTGAGCCGCCGCGCAGTTGCTCCCCGCCATGATCAGATGCCGGGGGGGGGGAGCCACAGATCAGTGAGCGAGGCAGCCTGCTGCGCATGTGCGCGCCTGCGCAGTTTGGCCGGGGGCCTCGGATGCTGCTGAAGTCGGGCGCGCCGGCAATCCAATGGCCACCCCTGCTGCGGACTTTCAGGTAAGTGGTAGTGTTTTGTAGGGATTTTTTTTTTTTATGCGCGGTTTCGTCTGGAAGGGACAGATCGGGGATGATGCACTCCGCTTCCCAGATGTTGCGGTGTGATCGTGCCTGCTTGATGCGCCCCCGTTCTGCCCCTCTCCCACCCTGTTGCAGTTGCCACATGAATGACAGAAGTCTGGATTCACCACTCTGTTGGGAAGGGCACAACGTTTCCTGTACGCCTGTCCAGATTTCACAGTTGGAACGAAACCGCCGCTTAACCGATCAACTGTTGACTCCGAAGATGATGTGTATGAGCCAGAAGGACGGTTGACAAGAAAGGATATTAATCAAACGCTTGGGTTCTTTTGCATACCCTGACAAGGCCTTTCGGGTTGATTTGCATATGCTGCTATACACAGTCTACGGCTTCCAGCCCTGCAGGCTTAATTTGTATTTCCAGTGAAGTAAATTTTTGATCAGTTTGTGAAGCTACTTAATTAATGCACTGTATAGGAAATACATCTGCAATCCAATTTGCCTGGGGTGGTTCCCCCCCCCCTTCAACGGCCCATCCATGCATTTAGGAAACGAACATATATCATCCTTCCTTTCAAAATTCATATGCTGGAGGACAAGCTAGATGCTATATGGGAAATTTGTGATCAAGATCGCCTGCATTTTATATATATATATACACACACACACACACACATATATATATACATATA